TTGTTTAACTGCACCAGAAATGAGAAGAGGAAGCAGCTGCCAAAGGGCTATTAGAAACCTTGAAAATGACAAGAGCTAGTTATTCTTGCAGTTGCTCTCTTGCCTCATTTTCAAAGCTTTTAATAACAGCCTTGAAACTGACTATTTAGAAGCCTTGAAAAACGACAGGAACTTGTCAGTTTTGTGGCTGTCAGTACCACAGCATTGACAGTGCTGTAAACAGGGCTTGTTAAATACGTAGCACTGTCAGTGGTGTGGTGTTAGCAGCCTCCAAATTGACTAGCTCCTTTCATTTTCAAGGCTGCTAATAGCAGACCCGAAACTGGCTATTAGAAAGGTTGAAAATGTGGGAAGCTAATCAGTGCCACTGTCTCAATACTGGCAGTGCTGTCTTCTTAATGTTCATTAAATTTTGGTAAGCACATACTTCAGGTAAGTACATGGGGGGGGCGGGGTTCAGTTCCAAGGCTTTGTGCTGAAAAGGAATGTCCTTCATAAACTAAAATATATTTCCACAAGCTCAGTTATAAATTGCAGTGGTGGTCAGAGGTATGGGGCAGAAAATTTTCCAGTGCTTTATTTTTCTGTGGGAAATTTTCTATTTCTAAAAATTCATTGTTTTATAAAATTCATTAGTAACAATGAATGGATGCCAATATAATATTAGGCAAGCTTGGCAGTTTCAAAGTTGTAATTAATGTTTTTTCAGGTAATTATTGCTAGGAAGTATGTGAGAGAGTACATACATTGACTTGTAAACAGGAGGGTAAATACACTCACATAATAATCCAAACCAAAAATCAAGCTATGATTTCACCTAATTGGCTGCAGGTCAAATAAAAACCAAAGCTAAAATTCTTATTTCATCTTAGGCTGCAAGTGAAAGCAAAACCAAAACTAAAACTGTGATTAATTTTTGTTTCACTTTCAGCAAACACACAGAGCAGTATCTCATTTCTTTTCTTGAGTTGGGGAAGTTGGAAGTGTTTGCATGAATGTACTATAAGCTATGAAGGGAGCAGGGAGAGCCAGACTGGGGTAAGAGGTACAATGGGGGTGGGGGGAAAAGAGGTGACAGGGTAAGTAGTGGGATAGAGGCTATGGGGGGAGAGGTGGGGGTGAGTGGGCCACACCCTGGGATCAAGTCAGATCCAGAGCCCCTTCACTTCTCCACTCTCCACTCCTTGCTGCCTGATTCTCAAATCCATTCAAAAGGCATTTTTCCACAGATTAAAACGGGGAGAGGGGGAACTTGTCTTGGAATTGAGCAAATATAGGAAATCTAATGTAAACTTCTTTTCACTTGAATCATTTCAGATCATTAAACATAATGAACTACAAGACTACATGTGTGACATCATATTAGCTCCCAGGAGCATGATAAAGAACACTTTTCTAGACTGTAATCTGTAGCGATTCAGGAATTAATGAGTATATGAAGTAAATAAAAGTTTTGTGGAAGATGAAACTCAGTCAAATAAGGCAATGCAGAGTTTGTCTGCATCTTGTTTGAGACTATATTTCATAAATTTATAAACAAAAATACATGTTATTTACAAATGATATGTTTATAAAGTCTGTAAGTAAGTTATTCTGATACAGAGTAAGATTTCTGAATAATACAGTTTATATTGTTGGGACAATTTATTTATGTAACACACTTTAGTGTGCGTCATTTAGATGTTTTACTTGGTTAATATATTGATGATTACTTCAGAAAAGGCAATGGCTGCTCATGGTTGCCACCACCATGAAGTATATCAAAGAGATTAAATATTATTCAAGATGAAGATAAGGTCAACATTGTCTTTTAGGAATAATGAAGTTTGATGTGTATCTTAAGTATGCCAAAATGTATTCTTGTAGTTTTGACTGAAGAGCAACGAAAACGGTTCGGGGTCTGGGGCACATGACTTATGAGGACAGGCTGGGGGAACTGGGTTTATTTAGTCTGCAGAAGAGAAGATTGAGAGTGGACTGATAGCAGCCTTTAACTACCTGGAGGGTGGTTCCAAAGAGGATGTTCTTAGTGGTAATAGATGACAGAACAAGGAGCAATGGTCCCTAGTTGCTGCAAGGGAGGTTTCAGGTAATTATTGCTAGGAAGTGTGTGAGAGAAGATTGAGGCCACAAGGTTTTCTTAGTACAGACTGCCAGTAGTTCCATTAATCAGCACTTCACGTTGCTTTTCTTGGCTGCCTGAGGGCGTGAGATTCTGTCTTTTCCTTGAGGGCATCTTAACTTTATTTTCATAGAAGGGAGACATGAAGAATCTAATGTGCCTTTAAAAAATAGCTCTTCTAATCTAGGATCTTGAATACAAATGCAAACCATAACTCCCATCTTAAAATAGAGGGGCAGATAGCAATTAGTATAAAAATTCACCAAATGCTCCACTTTTGAACATTTAGAAGTAACAGATTGCCAATGTGGGCTCAGCAGATTGGCTTGAGATACTTACCCTGGGCTAGAAACAGTGCTGGTGAACTCTGAGCAACCCCAAGGGTGGAGCAGGGGAGCCCTGCCCTGTGGAAAAGGAGAAGCCAGTTGAAAGAAGGGGTTTTCAATCCCCTCATTTGCATGGAAGGGGGATGGCCGGAGCTCGGGGCCAGCCACCCTGAGACCTGGTTGGCAGGTTTGCAAGCCAGGGAGGGACTGCCTGACAGAATAAAAGCAGCAGCCAAACTGGCATGGGGGGCTGCTGGCAGTGACTCCAGGGAACGATGCAAGAGGCCTAAGAAGAGCTGGGATGAGCTGACCCAGTGGAGGGAGCAGAGAGACCCTTCTGAAGAGCCTCGAAGGCTGTGGGAGAAAGCAGCGGCAGTTGACTATGACCCCAGCCCTGCAGCAGAGAGGGAGCAGCAGCCAGGGCTTGGGGCAGACAGCTGGTGCCCCAAGGCCCCATTGCAATGTGCTGGGCATCCCGGAGGCTAGGGGTGGCAGTCAGCCTCCCACACCACTACAGAGAAGAAGCAGCGGCCAGGAGCGCAGGCAGCATCCTTATCGGACCAGGGAGCTGGGCTGGTGAATTGAGGAAACCCCTTACCTTCCCTGGGGAAGCAGGACAGCAGCAGGCAAGGCATTGGGATCCTGAAGAGCGGCAGAGCGCCAGGACGAGGGTCCCTGGGAGCTCGGGGCATAGGCCAGCGCTCAGAGCGGGACTGGCGAGCCGTGAGGTGTGTGGGGCACTTGGCCAGTCATCTGGAGCAGGGGTTTAGAGCAACAGCCCCTGGGAGCTGCCTGTGCTGCTGACCCTCTGCCACTGACTGCCCCAGAGGGAACTCAGTTCTGTCCCTTATTCTGCAGCTGATTGTCATGGATGGAGTCCCTGAGCTTTGTGCTTGGGTCATGCTGATTGCTGCAGGAGCCTACTCTGTTGCTTGCCTTTTTGGTTGCCAAGGAGGGTCACCCTTCAGCCTCTTTGGGGGCTGGGGTTTGATACAATTTGATTGCTGCAGACCAGAAGAGCTTAACCTGTTCCAGTCTGTCGCTTATTGGGAAGCCTGTTGGAGCTCCTGGGAGTGCCACCTTGCTTCCTTGTGGTAGCATCTCAGCAGTGGCTGAAAACTGCCAGTTACCCTACCTGTGGTTCTTGAGTCAAGGGTTGACTAATGCATTCTGGTTTGTTTTGTGATTCTGGTTATGCCATTTAAGTTCACTTGTAAATAACCTTTCCTATTATTCTTGTTTTGTAAATAAAATGTAAATAGTTAAATCAGTTAAGTGTTAGACCTTCTTGGGACCATGGGCTGCTCTGTTGTGAGTAGGGGCCGGCTGGAAAGTAAATTGGTACTGGCCGGAAGCCCTGCCCCACTCTCACCACACCATCCCTGATATTGGGCAGGGGTGGCAACTATTGGGCCGCCACCTGGGTTATATAAATACAAAAATTATTATACAAAGGCAATGTTTTTTGCATCAACTTTTATTAGTGGACTCATTTTAGTACCCATAATAATTTTTAGAATGTCCTACCACATGGCTTTCACCATCTGATATTCAACATTTGTACCAATGTTCCAACTAAACACCACATTTTCTAATATCTGACAGTATAGAAATGAGAATCAAATTATTGGCAAGCTCTTCTAGTCCTTACTCAGGAAAAATTCCCATTGAGATCAATGGAGATTTTGTCCCCAAAATTTACTGCAAAACATGACCCAGCAGCATATTTTTAATATGTATTTCTATAGCAGTTTTTGTACTTGACCTTTCTAAAGAGATTTCTTTTTTTTCTTAATTTCTCTGATTTTTTATATTGTGAAACAGGTATTGGTGATTGTGCTAACCTTTGATGTTTTGGCATCATATTCATAATAAATACCAGGAATATATGTATATATACACAATAACTTGGGTGTGTTCTTCATTGCTGAACTCTCTAGATTCAAATCACTAGGTAGCAGAGCAAACTGTACTGTATTTTTTCCTGGCTGCAGTTCTAAATCTTGACTCCCTGATCACAGATGTAGTACAGCTGACTGAAATAGTGCTATAATATTTCTTCAGGTCCTTGTGCCTCTTCCCTTTTTGTACCTCTTCCTCTTCTAGCTTCTTTCGCATTTCAGCAATCTTTCCATTCTCTAACAAAGTGGAAACATTGGAGACTGTAAGTTTTCATTAGCAATTAATGTTTAAAAATTCCATTGGACTTTGTCAGTAAAGATAGGTAGGTTGCTAGTCATAAGGAGGTACTGATTTCTGCCTAATATTATAAGTTTTCTGGGGCAGAAAATGTGTCTTTGTATTAGCAGAAAGCGGTTATTCCTGATTGTTATTATAATGGGGCCCAATTCTGGTTGGGGTCTTTAGATGCTACTGGGATACAGAAAATGATGCTTTTATTGCTAATCTTTCCCTTCTTGTCTCTACATTTTACTGAAATGGTATAATACATAACTTTCTCAGAAGCTGCCTTTAAATACTGCTTCATTGTTATCCAGGATGGAAGACAAAAGGCCCTACAAAGTACAAAAAATAACAATAAGTAATTTTTGTTTTCACCCTCTGACTAATAACACCCTCTGCTCATAACACATTTTGGGGTAGATTCTGATCCAACTATCACAACAAAAAAACTGAGTAAATTTCACTGAAGCCAATTAAGTTATTCTATATTTACAGCAGTATTAAATAAAAGCAGAGCTTTTGCATCAGTGAATAAATCTTTTAAGGTCTCTTCTGGATTTGGCTTTCCAAGATAGTGGCCTTTTCTATCACTAGCCAAACAAATGGTACTCCTAAGTATGGGGCAATATTTACATCATAATGGGTAGACTTTATTTGTACAAAAATCATTTTAAAATATACAAGGACTACATTTACAGTTGTACCCAGCAACCCCACTTGAGCTTTTGTGCTGTACAACCATGCACTAGAAGAGCTTAACCCTACGCAACTGTTATAAAATGGCCAGGAAAGTATTTCCCAGGCAAGAAGATCAACAATATGTTAAAGTACAATAATGGAGCTGTATAGAAAAGTTTGCATAGCATCTGCCTATGCCAAGTCTGACTCCGTAGCACTACAGCTTCTCATCTATATGGGAAGCGTAGTCACAAACATAAGAAAAGTGCTGTTATATGCCTTGATGCTTTATTGAACATTAGGAAGTTACCTCTGATGTCTCTTGCCTGCAAAAGATGTACCCTAATGAGTGTAACTCATCCTACTAAAGCAAATGCAGGTCTATGGAAGGGATTCGTGGAACTCCAGTTCCTCATTATGTTTTACTTTTCTTTCATGGAATGACTCTGCAGCAGTGGCTTTGGGGTAACTAAAATGGTCCCTTAAAACATGCAGTGGATTGAAAAAGTAAACTACAGGACTCCTATCTGGGCTACAAAGCCTTTATACTGATCCCTATAGATGAAGTATCATATAAGAAATATTTCTGTGACATTCCTCCCTTTCCCAACTCCATAGGATGAAGGCCTGGGGGACTATTTCTGCGGTAATGGATTCTACTTTCCTCTCTAATCTTCCTACAAAATTATGTCCCTCTGCCTACATACATACCATTTTTTCCAGTGTAAATATATTAGCAGATGTCTTAAATCTCCAGTTGTTAATTAAAATATTTGTAAATATGACTTCAGTACTTGTGCAAACCAAGAAAATGTTGATTAGAAATGTAGGTTACGCATTGTTAACCATAAGAAAGCCTGAATGTCTTAATAAAAGATGCATAGTTTAAATTCATGTTATTGAGTTAGATGCCAAAATAACTATGCAAATTGTTCTGGACTCTGTTAAGTAGTTAGATTAGAAAAGCTAACACTCTTGTCTAAGCTTAAAATTTGTGGGTGGGGAACCATAGGTAGCATAAATAGTCATGGCTTCTTTGACTTTATTGGTCCTATAACAATTTACAGCTGCAGCAAATCTCTTTTAGTAAAAATGAAATGCAGCCAAGAGTCGGGCATTCAAAAAAAACATGGGAAAATGCTGACTGTAAAAACAAGCTTTAAACAAATAGATCACTGTGGTAATGAAATAATTGGACAGTAGCATTTTAATTGGTTTAAAAGAAGGAATGTTTATTACAGTTTCTCCAAATCAAGAGACTGTTGCAGTTTAGCTGGAATTGCCTGAAAAAGAAAGACAGTTTTCTTTTAAAAATAGTGGGAAGAATTTCTTTCAGGACCTAATTAGGACAAAAAAAGGGAAATGACCCTGAAAGAACAATTTATCACTTTAAAGGTCCAATCTAAGGGTCGCTTTTTTCAAAAGAAAAACTCCCAGGCCTTCAAAATGCTTTGGATAAGATCCTCATTGTGGTTCTGTTGTATTAGGAAAAAAAATGCTGTGGTATTTAGAATCTTTTTTTCCAGAAACAAGAAATTCTTAAAACTAGAAAACCAAACCTTAAACTGGTCCTAGAACTTCCCTAGTCAGAAAACTCAAACAAATATTCAGATATGTTAATACTTTTAGTCAAAAATTTTATCTGAAAAGCTACTTAGGTCGAAAATGGGGTAAATAAAAAAAATAATAAAAAACCACTAGCCCACTAAGATGTTGTAAAGTATGATACACACCTTGTGGGTTATATACTAAAGCTGTACACTTGTAATCAGAAATTTCTTCACAAATATCCATGGAATATATAGAGTGAACTTTCTCCTGACTCCCTGAAGTATATCTGTATTTACACTGCTCATTAACCAGGGCAGTGATTTGGTCCTGAAGATTAATATAGTCCTTCTGCAGGTGGCGGACTTCGAACTGCAATACATCCCTCTCATTTTCTATCGTTCTCAGGTGGTTTTCCATTAGTAAGCGGTCCTCATTCAGTCTTCCAATGCTAATTTGATACTTGGAAACATCATGTTTATGGTCCTGTAGTTCTTTTTTAAGTAGCCTATTTTCCTCTGTGATGTTTCTGACAGCAACTGATAACCTCTCCTGGTCTCTGTCCACATTGGCCAAATTAGTTTTCAAAAAGTCAATTTCTGCTTTTGCATTTCTAAGTTCAGTAAGGAGTTTCTCCTCGGCATAAGTTTTATCTGATTGGACTTTCTCAAGCTCCTTCTGTTGCATTTGTCTCACATTAGCATATTCCTGCAATGTCATTTCAAGGTTAAACTTTTTTTCTTTAAGTGACTGCACTAATTGAAGAGTCTCCTGTTCGGATTTTGTTACGTTTTCTTTGTCTTTCAGATGCTTTATTTCAATCTGATTTTGTACAAGTTCTTTTTCAAGCGAGGTTTTTTTCTTGCATAAGCTGGGATGTTTTTGTTTCTAGTTTCCGATTTGCTTCTCGTAAGACTGAAGATTCCTTTAGCAAAGAATCCAGTATCACAGTGAGTTTATCTTTTTCATTGGTAGCAGCAATCATATGTTCTCGTGCTTCTTGACTCTTAATTTTAAAGTCATCTAATGTTTGCCTCATACACTGGTTTTTAATACAGAGTTGGCTCCTCTCTTCTTGGAGAGTTTTCTTTTGGTTGTGAAATTCTTTACGGTTTTGTAACAACCTTTTCACTTTAATACCTTGCTGTCTTCTTCTGATTTAACTAACCTGCCTTTCATGTTTTGCTTTTCTTCAGCCTGAGGTTTAATTTGCTTTTCATATTTTGACCTTTTTTCTCAAATTATAATAGTATTATAATAGTAAGATGTTTCACTTCTGCCTTGAAAGTTACATTTTCATTCTCAAAGAGTTGCAGCATTTTATTTTGCAAGTGTTCAGAATATTTGGCGGAATTTTGTGACACTTCAGTTTTTTCAGAGTACTCTGACACAGCTTTGATTTCATTGAATTTAGGATTTCCAGGCTCTAGTATTTGTTGGCTTAGTATATGCAGTTGGTCGTCTTTTTCTCTCTACAGTTGTTCTATGTGATCAAGCATTTGTAACTTTTTCTTTATTGTTTTGGAAAAGACATTGAACTGGAACCCTTTAACACCATTGTCAGTGCTATAAAATTTATTTTTCTTTTTGCTTCCAGCTTCTCCTTGAGTACTGCATGTACTTTTAAGGGCAACATTCCAGAATGTTTCATATTTAGAATCTTTATTAAATTCTTTATCAAGATTCAGATTATTTCCTTGAAGAGAAACCAGTGTAATATGTGATGTGTCTACTGTTTTTTCAGGTTCTGAAATTTCTATTGATTTTTTGAGTCCCCACTTAATTTCTTGCAAGATAAAAAAAGAGTTGATATTTTGGGCTCTTGTTTTAACATATAACCAGAATCATTATATTGATTACAGGAAACATTCTGAAGTTCAGTCGCATGTCCTAGTTTCTGTTCATTAGGCTTTTGGAGATCTTGTTTCAATTGTTTGGTAGAATAGTTAAGGTCTGTTAATGAAATTCATCATCATATTCAAGGAAAGTAATGGGAGCTTTAAGTTCATCCAAAATTAATTTATCATTAGCAGTAGTAATACCTTCAGCTTCCATACTAGAGCAAGGTAGAAAACATTTAGGTTTGGCAAAATCCCTCAAAAAATATTATTTTTTTAGAGTATTCATAGCTTTGATTTCAGTCGGTCCTAATTGTTTTTTGATCTTTCCAGCTATTACAGTTTTTAGTGAAATCTGGTGAGAAATATTTACATCACTGACCGCATTTCCAAGGAAAATATTAGAATTTGCTTCCAGGGGCTGGTTGGTGCAGTGTTTCTGACCATACTGAAATTCCTTCATAGAAAATGGTGATTGTGGACTCTGTAAACTAAAATAACCCAATAACAATCATTCTGTAAAAACTGTTGTTTACAATTCTAGAGGCAAGAGCCGGCCAAATGGTTGCCAAGTCTATGATGCATCTTGCAAAACCATTACCGATTATATATGCTAATACCATTTATCTCTAACACAAGGAAAGGAAAATGAATAAGGAGAGAATTGAGTATGTCAGTAAATTTAAGAAACCATATTATGAGCCATATTTCATTTAATTAGGTCTTTTGTTTTCTTCCTGAAGCCTACTAATATTTGTTAAGATGCTAAAATGTTTTTAGAGAGCAAAGGCCCTATCAGAACCTAGAGAGGGGACCCATTGCTTTAGAAAAAGGCCTATTCCACGGCCTGTTTTTTCCAGTGACCCTAATTGGAATAAGCCTAAAGTACTGACATATCCCACTGAGTTCTCTGGGGACATGTGCAGCTGGGGAAAGACAAGTTAACTAGTGAGCTAAGTGTCTTTTGAGGTCAAAAGTCCACTCATGCCTAACAGCTTGTTGGACCAGAATGGTTAGGGAACCCACAGAACCCATGACAATCCTGTAATGCAACCAGGATTTGGTTCTGAGTCTATGTAATGGTTTACTTATCATGCTACAGAATTAAAGCCACCTATCTGATCATCCCACCCCACTTACTTTAAAAGTTGTTTACTGAATAGAATCCAGGACTTCAACATAGTTTAGATGACCTGGTTGAAGTCTAATCTACAACAAAAAGCTTTCACCATATTGGAGAAAAACCTTGTTAAGTCCCTCAACCTGGCTGTATCTTCCCCGTTGACTTAAATAACGGTTCTTTTGAGACAGAATTATGGTGACATCATGTAAGTGTATATTATTAGTGAGGAAGTTGTGGCTTCTTTTCATGTACAGACTAACCCTTGGTTTTGATTGCAGTGCTTTATGTCTTTTTATTCATAACTTCTGTGGTGATAAGGATTAGGTAACATACTCACAAGTGTTTTGGCAGGTGAGTTGGTCATCAGAAATTTCTCTGAGCTACCCTGTGAAGTTGTTGCATCAATTACACTTTTGTTCATTATCTCACTGATTTCAGACTGTACCTGAAAAAGAAGTATTAAGACTGTTTTTCTTTCACAGGTGTACATGAAAACATACCTGCAGAAACATTTCATTTTTGGAAGATATCCTGTTTAACAAAGGGTTTTTCTCCTCATGAAAGATAGGTTAGACAGCAGCGCACCACTTTGCCCTGACATATGAGAATGAAAATTGCTAATTTCACTGCAAGTACCCTTGGAAAATAAAATTAAGTACATGTGTAAGTCTGTGCAGCATTGGGGTCTTAGACAAAATGAGGTAAAATTATTGAAAGGTCAGAAAACCGTTCCTGTAATAGTGGCTTGCTATCTGGGCGACATGGCAGTTTAAAACTACAGTATGGATTCTGCTTTTGCTTATGCTGATGTAAGTCAGGAGTAACGTCTTTGAAGTCAATGGAGTAATTGCTCCTTTATGTCAATGCAAATGAAAGAAGAAACTGATCCTTTCTCTTCTGTTATCCACTTCCTTTTCCTACAATGGCCTGTTTTCAGGTACTGCTTGACACTCAGGCTCCATAGTGACTGGAGCAGTACAAAGTCCTAGACAAACAGACAGAATAAACTACTTTCTGGTGATCACCATACATGACAATTATTTAAGTGCAGATTTAACATGTACAGTAAGCTCAAAATAGCAATAGTAAGCTAAATACTAGGGTCTAGTGTTTTGGGATATAATATATTTTGGCTCTTGACAATGCTCTGTGTCAATAGTTATGTGTATTCACTTTATAATAATTAGGAAATTCATTTTCAGCAAATCAGTGTAACTTTTGATTTTGAATACAGCACCTACTATTAAAAAGCTATTTTACTTTGTTGCATTTTGTCAAATAAAAATGTGTTTGATTTTTTAAACTAGTTAAAATACTGAGGACAGAATCTAAGAACTAGGAGAGTATTCTGAGTTTTAGATCAAAAGTTTCCCTTATTGTATTATTTTCCCTTCCAGTTCAACTGAATGTTAATGAAGCGGACTAGTGAGCCTGATGTGTGGACTAGTCAGCCCCTGATTCTTGCAACTGCCGTAGCCCTATGATAAGGCTTCTTTAATTATAACTAGTAGCTTGGTCTGTTCCTGCTGCTGAGGTGTAAGGCATAAGGTACAAGCCAGGTTGTCAGGATCCTCTTTGCTGTCACATGATTAAACAGGTAATCTGGTGGAGAGACTCGTTAGACGGTCAAATAAATATACTGTGGTGAAATCCTGCTAGACAAATATGAATGTCACTTCTTTAGTTCTGGTTGCTTTAGAAATGTGCAATTCCCATGACTAATTCTTGTGCATTTATCCATGGGGAAATTAAACTTCAAAAATTTGTGGTGTTTGGTAATAATAATAATCAGGACCAAAACCACTTACTTTTAATGCTGATTGTGGCTGGATTTGAACTTCTGTTCCTGATGTATATTTATCTAACAATAAAAGCAACAAACCTGCAGTTATAGCACCTACAGTTGGGAGCAAACATGTAAAAATCTCTAGACAAATATCACTATGCAAGAGGAAGAAAATCACCTCTGCACTGGGCCTAGGAAGGAGGAAGAATGGCCTAATGTCCTTCACTATCCTAAGTTTGGTTTAGAGATGGCGGGGGTGAGGAACGGGTGTTTTACTGGAATGATATAACTATGATTTGAGAATGGTTTGGTAGTTTCCATGAGAAAAAAGTTCCCAACATAGGATGATGAAAGCTGGAAAAGGTGAGACTTGTGTCCTAGGTCACACCCCTTCCAGAAATGCTATCAATCCTGTTTCCTCTTAGAAGGACTAGGGAGTATGTCAGCTAATTTCTGTAGGGTCCCTTCATTGAGCTGCATGCTGCTGATGCAGAAGCCTAAGTGAGGCACCTTCCCCAGGCTCTGTCTTAGAGGGAGCACCAGACTGCTGCTCCTACATTTCTGCAGCTCAGTCACAGCAGGTGAACCGAGACCTTGAAGTCAAGCAGTCCCTATACCCAGTAGTGTGTATAGGGGACAGGTCAAGTGGAATGGCATCCTCCCACCCTTGGGATTTTTGCCACAGGAGGTGCAGCAATGTACTGGGGGGCAGGGAAGCAAGCAAGGCACCAGAGAAAGCCCCATGAGAGCCTGCATTATGGAGCTATTGCAGCTGAACCCTGCTCACTGGCTGCGGCATCTCTCCATAGCTGTCTTTGGTGCCTTGTTTGCTCCCCACTGCCTCTACCCCAAGTACACCACAGGGCACATGGCTGCCAGACCGTCTAAGGCTGAGTTGCGCCTGCTGTGGCAAAGACTTTGGGATGGAGGCGGGATTTTGGTGCCCTCTTCTGAAGTTGGTACACACCAAACTTGTGTCTCAGCTGCAGCAGCAGCTGCTGCCAGTTCAGAGAGCACCGGGCAAGGAGCACACCCGCAGGTTCTCCAGTGTTTGGCAGCGCTCTACGCAGGGAACTGTGGGAGCTCGCTGGGCCTGTGCAGGAAACAGGAGAATGAAGGGGGGGAGGACAGATTCATCCCGAGGAGCATGCTCTCATGTCACTTGATAAAAGCTTGCCTGCTTCACTCTGCTCTGTGAGGAATGTCACCATAAAATCTTGGTTCCATCTTTCTTGGCTAGGACCCCACTTGCAGGCATGTGACCCAACTTTCATTCACCCCAGCTTGTGCCCCCAGCTCTGGTCTGACATCACAGTGCATTATGGTATGGGAATGTGATGACATCACAGCACATCCTGGTGTGAGGATGTGATGACATCACAAGTCCTCAGTGTTGGGATGCAACAACATCAACACATCTTGGCACAAGGAGGTAATGACATCGCAGCACGTGATGGTGCCTTCCCGGGTGTGGGGCAAGACGGGGGCTCTCACCTGGCCATATCTGCTCACAGCCTGCCAGGACCCTGGAGGCAGTGGTGAGCCTAGTTGGGTCTGGCTCCAGCTCCTCCTGCACCACACAGCTGTCCTCTGAAAATATACCCACCCATGCCACTTCTGGACACATCTGTGTTCATGACTCACGGTACCCACCCCCTGCCTCATCCTGGGCCGTGCCTGCCCGCACCCGCTCCCAAACTGTGGCTGCCACCCGAGTGGTGCTCAGCCTCTCCACATTGCTAGGCAATGATTCTCTGCAGGCAGCATGGCCAGGCACTCCCAGCACTCGCGGCATATGCCAGCGCCCCTGGGGGCCAGGAGGGATGCTGCCACCTGGTGAGCAACTGGGACACCAGCACCCCCTGGCGGGGCCTCGAGCTTCAGCAGGGTTTGCTGGAGGGGTGTGTGGTATATACTTGCATGTGGAGCAATGTGACGTGTGCTATTTTGCATCGCCTTGGGCACAAGCACCATCCTCTCCCTCCAAAACACGTGGCAGCTCTTACCCACTGCAGACCCCAGGGAAACCTTTGGGGAGCAAAACTGAAATACAGGGTGGGTCTGATTAGAAGCGGTCCATTTCCCCCCTCCCCAAGAATCATGGGAATCCCAGGCTACTTACCTGCAGGGCTGCCCTAGGTTTTGGGGGAAAGGATCTTAATGAAAAGATGACCTTAGCCAGCACCCGGAAGGGCTGGGCAGTGCGGGGTCATCTGCCCCTTTACAGAGGGTCATCTGCTTTGCTGTCCCCTGCCCAGAGTGGATTACCATGCCCTATACCTGGATGCCAGAGCTCATAGACCTGTGGGGGGATTGCAAAGGGTCATTGGTTCTGGGAGGCTTGGGTCATGCAGGGAAGGGCTGTGATGGCTGCATGACTCAGCACCCTCCTCTTCCTGGGGATCTCCCTGGTCTGCTTAGAGCAGGAGACAAGCAGGGTAAGAGCTCAGAAGGCCAGAGAGCCCTGTAGCAAGTTAAGGCTTTCAAACCCCCTGACTCCACTACTGGGAGCTGTGAAACCCTGGTTCCCCAGCTCTGAGACAGGACCACTGGAGCTACAGAGCAAGGACGCAGCTCACAAGGTGACTGGCAA